CTTTTGCCTGTTCACTCTGTCGCATCTGTATAGGTTGTAACCTGGGATACATATTTCGTTGTCCAAGTGATCCTTTATGTGGGTCTCTGTGAAAGCCACGAACATTGCATTTGTCTCTGCAAGCAGTCCACGGATGAAAGGTATTTTGTTGTTTGTTGCTGGCTTTAGACCCTGTATATTTGCAAAGAAGAAAGTCATCAGACTGGTGGTATTGTTGGTACTGGGGGGGGGGGGGATTTTTTTTCCGGCATTAGTATCTGCATCTGTTGGTTTGGAGTGGAGGCCATCGACTGTGGTTCCACTCCAGGAATGACTGGATTTGGTGTACGATTTCTGCCATTTCCTGCCAGTTTTTTTTCCTTCCTGGAACTAAAAAACCTCTCCCTCTTGAGTGGCTGTGGCTACCCAGGTTTTCCCATGGTCCTTATGGGAGCAAATTCATTCGGTAACGGCACCCGAACAGCCTTCTGGAACGAATTAATATTGTAAGTCGGGGGTCCACTGTATTTTAAGTAAAGTAATGAGTGTACAATGTATGTATTTTACTTTTTATTGCTTTTTAATGCCTAGTTCTATTGCTAACTTAATATATGTTAGTGAAAACTTGTTATCTGGCATTTATATCATTATAAGTGGAAAAAATGGTGTTCTGTTTTCCAGCACTTTTATTTATTTATTTATTAATTTGAACATGATACAGAGAAGTACAAGGAATACAATTTTTAAAGTGCAGCATGCCAAAGCCCCTTGTATGCAGAGCATTATGGGCAGGCTTAAAATTAACTTAAGATTAACTAAGCAATAACATAATCAGTGGTACAAAAATTTTTGTAAAACAGATAACAATTTAGTACAAATGAGTACAGTGGTCCCTCATTTTTCGTAATTAATCCATTCCTGGAGCCGTTACTATAAACGAAATTTACGATTTACGAATCAATTTTCCCCATAAGAAATAATGTAAATACAATTAATCCGTTCCTGACACCCAGAAGCATTAAAACAAAAAAAATTTTTACATGAAATATACATGTATTACATAAACAATAAAATTGGAAATGATGAATGAAACATTAACAGCATAACACTTACCTTTATTGGAGATTCTTCTTAGTGTATGGGAGACTGGAGGAGGAGAGAGAGTGGATTGTTTATAGTTTGGAAGGGGAATCCCCTTCCAGCAACACCTCAGGTACCAATTGCTTTTCTGGGGTTGCTTGTCTTCTCTATTTCTTAATGCCACTAGGACCACCTTGAGAGTCACTGGAGTCCTGTCTCGCAAAATAACTGTGGAGAGAGCTCTGTTTCTGGCGTCTCTTTAACACTTCCCTAAAATGGCCCAAGACTTTGTCACTGTACATGTTGCCAACCTGGCTTGCAACAACCTTGTTAGGGTGATGTTTCTCCATAAAGCTTTCCATCTTACCCCACATAGTAAAAATATCTTTAATTTCTGAAGAAGGCACCTTCTTCCATCTCTCTTCCTCCTCCTCTGCAGCAAGATTCTGAGCTGCGATGTGTTGCTCTTCCTGCTGAAGCTCTGCAGCTCCTCAGTGGTGAGCTCTTCGTTGTGGTCTTCCACCAATTCTTCCACATCCTCCAAACTCACATCCAACCCCATGGAACTCCCCAGTGCCACAATTGATTTTACAACAGACATAGGCTCATTAGGGTCAGTCCCAAACCCTTCAAAATCCCTCTTGTCGCCACAATCTGGCCACAATTTTCTCCAGGCAGAGTTCAAAGTCTGGTAGTCACTCCCTCCCAAGCCATTACCTATAAGGGTTATGCAATGGAGGATGCTGAAGTGTTCTCTCCAAAAATTCCCTTAGGGTCAAGTGAGTGTCTGTGGTCACAGTCAAGCACCTGTGAAACATTGCTTTTGTGTAGAGTTTTTTAAAGTTTGCAATGACCTGCTGGTCCATGGGCTGGAGGAGAGGAGTGGTATTCGGGGGCAAGAACTTTACTGTGATGAACCCAAAACTCCTCGAAAATTAGGTCATCCAAGTTTGGAGGATGAGCAGGTGCATTGTCCATTACTAACAGCCACTTGAGATCCAATTTCTTTTCCAGGAGATACTCCTTCACACTAGGGCCAAACACTTCATTGAACCACTCGACGAAATTTCCCTCGTGACCCATGCCTTATTATTAGATTTCCAAAACACACACAATTTACTCTTCATAACATTGTTTTTCCTGAACACTCTGGGATTTTCAGAATGGTACACTAGTAATGGCTTCACTTTGAAATCCCCACTAGCATTAGCACAGAACATTAGCGTCAGCCTGTCTTTCATAGGCTTGTGTCCTGGCACTGCCTTTTCCTCTTGTGTAATGAAGGTCCTCTTTGGCATTTTCTTCCAAAAGAGGCCTGTTTCATCACAATTGAACACTTGTTCAGGTTTCAGTCCTTCAGCCTCTATGTACTCCTGGAATTCATGCACATATTTTTCAGCCGCCGAACTGGCAGCCTCACTATGCCTTACCACACTGTGTATGCCAGTACGGTTCTTAAATCTCTCAAACCAGCCTTTGCTGGCCTTAAATTCACCCACATCACCACTATTTGCAGGCAATTTCTTTACCAAATCTTCATGCAACTGCCTAGCCTTTTCACAAATAATCTAAGTCATAAGAGTATCTCCTGCTAATTGTTTCTCATTTATCCACACCAATAATAACTTCTCAACCTCTTCGAGTACTGGTGATCTCATTTTTGTCAGCATAGTTACCCCCTTTGCAACAACAGCATCCTTGATTTCCTTTTTCTTGGCCACTATGGAACATAAGGTTGTGTAGGGTTTCTTATACATCCTGGACAGTTCGGCCACACTTGTACCACTTTCATATTGTTCAATGATGGTATTCTTAAATTCAATCGTATTTCTCACCTTCTTTACCACAGGCTTGGCACTAGGAGCTTTCTTTGGAGCCATGGTAGCTTATTTAGTACTTGCAAGCACTAAAATAAATGGAATACGTATTATTAAATATTTCGCTGGAGCACGTGAGGGGACCTTCGCTCACTGGTAAACAATGCCAGACTGGCTGCCCCCCCGGCTCACGCCGTGGGTACGCGTCCCGGACGAACTACGACTCGCAAGTCAACCTATGAAAAGCGAGTCCATGTTTATACGAAAATACCCCTATGATTGGCGAAATTTACGATTGCCGGGAACTACGAAAAGCGGGGGACCACTGTATTACAAAGACAGGTCATATGGTCATTTACTGTGTTGCTGTGTAATCAGTAGAATGGAGTATTCTGTTAGGTAATGAAGTTAAATAGTAACAAAGTTTGATTGGGTCACAGGTTGACATTTATGAGACACAATAATGAGATACATGTATGAGATAAAATTTATGAGATACAATTATTCAGTATTTATTTAGTTGTGGGTGAGTAAGTGATTTTTGAGAAGAGACTTGAATTTATAAACAGACAGTGTTTCTTTTATATTCACAGGTAATGAATTCCAGATTTTAGGGCCTTTTATGTGCATTGAGTTTTTGCACAGCGTGAGATGGACACGAGGAACATCAAAGAGTGATCTGTGCCTTGTGTTATGGTCATGTGTTCTGTTGAGGTTGGTAAGGAGATGTTTGAGGGGAGGGTTTATGTCAGAGTTAAGTGTTCTATGTATGTAGTAGGTGCAGTAATAAGTATGGATGTTGTGTATTGTGAGTAGGTTTAGAGTTTTGAATACTGGTGGAGTGTGCTGTCTGTAGTGGGAATTTGTTATCATTCTGACTGCAGCCTTTTGTTGGGTGATTAGTGGTCTGAGATGGTTTATTGTTGTTGAGCCCCATGCACAAATTCCATAGGTGAGATAGGGGTAAATAAGTGAGTGATAGAGGGCCAGGAGGGCTGACTGTGGAACATAGTACCGTATCTTCGATAGTATGCCTACGGTCTTGGAAATTTTTTGGGAAATTTGTTGTATATGTGTTTGAAATTTGAGTCTATTATCAAGGTGGATTCCTAAGAATTTTCCCTCTGTGCGTTTTGTGATAGGTGATCCATTTATCATTATGTTAAGAGACACATCTGTAGCTCTGTTACCAAACTGAATGTAGTAGGTTTTGTCAATGTTTAGAGTAAGTTTGTTGGTCCTCACCCAGGTTGATAAGCGGTAGCCTGGACCCTAACCTGCCGTATAAGTTGGGGCCTTACTGTATCTACAAGATACAGCCTCAAAAATACAAAATGAGCCCCAGAGCTGAAGATAAAAATTATTATGTAGACTGAAGTCACAAAATCTAGTGGTACTGTGCAACATTCAGGAATTCTGCATTTGCAAGGACCTCTACGAGCCTAAATTTACATATTTTGGTATTCAACTACATTAAAATGTACTTTATGTGTAACACAAAATACTGCAGTAAAAAATTATTAATAGTACTGTACTATCACTTCATATGCTGTATAAAACATTCATTAACCTTGACATATTAAAATTTATTCATTAAGTTAAATATACTCAAATATAAAATTATGTAGTTATATATTTCTGTATCATAAAACAGTAAACTTTTAATATACAGTGGACCCCAGCATAACGATTACCTCCGAATGCGACCAATTATGTAAGTGTATTTATGTAAGTGCGTTTGTACGTGTATGTTTGGGGGTCTGAAATGGACTAATCTACTTCACAATATTTCTTATGGGAACAAATTCGGTCAGTACTGGCACCTGAACATACTTCTGGAGTGAAAAAATATCGTTAACCGGGGGTCCACTGTAATTTATCTCAATATAGCACTTTTAAATAATTGACAAAATACACTTGGTAAACTGCATTTTTAACTCCTCAGTTCATCAACATTGTAAATAGTTCATTCACTAGTTTCTTAGATCAACCCTAATTACCTCCCATACTTTGTGTGTTGTATGATCCATATGGGTTATGCACTTCCCTATGGATATATCAATAATCTACTGCCATGGTATATGCTGATCAAGATTAATCCTGATATTAGGTTCTTGCACCAACCTGCTTGTATGGAACTCTGAATTTGCATCAAGAAGTTCTACCTCTTCATCCTCTTCCACTACATCCTCCAGCACCTCCCCCTCGACTAGGTCATCCTCGTCCTGAAACATATCATGCATTGGTTAACAATCAGTGTTATACATAGATGAATAAGAAACATGTGCAACACATAGGAATCTTCATCATGAAAACGTTCTGCCAACCAGTGACTTTTTCAGTTCAATGCAAAACTTATACACTGGAGACAGTAGAAGATAAGGTAATGAATCCCTTAGTCTTGCAGAAGATGAGGTAATCAGTCTCCCTGCCTTGGGAGGTGTTTAGTCTACTAGTTAGTGAAACAACTTCATAATGAAGATACCTAGGAGTTCCATGTCTCTTAGTCATTAAGGTGTCTTTACTGTATAGTGTAATTAAACAAACCTTACAATTATCTAGGCACTTTACAGGTTGGAAATGCATAGGTCAATCCAAAATCATGAGACTATATCCTTTTTTTTTTTAACAAATTGGCCGTATCCCACCGAGGCGGGGTGGCCCAAAAGGAAAAACGAAAGTTTCTCTTTTTAAATTTAGTAATTTATACATGAGAAGGGGTTACTAGCCCCTTGCTCCCAGCATTTTAGTTGTCTCTTACAACATGCATGGATTACGGAGGAAGAATTCTGTTCCACTTCCCCATGGAGATAAGAGGAAATAAACAAAAACAAGAACTATAAAGAAAATATTAGAAAACCCAGAGGGGTGTGTGTATATATATGCTTGTACATGTATGTGTAGTGTGACCTAAGTGTAAGTAGAAGTAGCAAGATGTACCTGAAATCTTGCATGTTTATGAGACAGAAAAAGACACCAGCAATCCTACCATCATGAGACTATATATGTATATATTTTTTGTAACACACCACCCTTCTCTTACTGAGGTAGTGTGACCCAAATGAAGAGACTTTCACTGTCATTCACTCTATCACTGTCATACCAGTGGTATGCCATTACTACAGCTCAGATGCCCCTCAAAACTGCAGATATCTCTACCCCTTCTTCAGGGTGTGGGCACTGTACTTTCCACCTCCAGGACTCAAGTCTGGCTAACCAGTTTCCCTGAATCCCTTCACAAAATGTTATCTTGCTCACACTCTAACAGCTCATCAAGTTCCAAAAACCATATGTCTTCACTCACTCCCTCACACATGCCTGTTGGATATCCAAGCCCTTATATATACATATATATTAGGCATATTCTAAAGAAAAGTTTCAAAGGTTAGTGGACGAGTTTGGGAATGTGTGTAAAGGTAGAAAGTTGAAAGTGAACATAGATGAGAGTAAGGTGATGAGGGTATCAAATGATTTGTGCAAGACACGTATACAATACCGACAAGATGAAAGTTAAGACACTTGTGCAACATCAGATGTTGCACAAGTGTCTTAACTTTCATCAAATGATTTATATAAAGAAAAATTGGATACCACATTGGCGAGAGGGAGTATGGAAGAAATGAATGTCTTCAGATATTTGGGAGTTGACTTGTCAGCAGATGGGTTTATGAAGGATGAGGTTAACCATAGAATTGATGAAGGAAAAAAAGTGAGTGGTGTATTGAAGTATATGTGGAGACAAAAGACGTTATCTATGGAGGCAAAGACAGGAATGTATGAAAGTATACTGGTACCAACGCTCTTTTATGGGTGTGAAGCTTGGGTTGTAAATGCTGCAGTGAGGAGGCAGCTGGAGGCAGTGGAGATGTCCTGTCTAAGGGCAATGTGTGGTGTAAATATTAAGCAGAGAATTCGGAGTGTGGAGATTAGGAGGAGGTGTGGAGTTACTAAAAGTATTAGTCAGAGGGCTGAAGAGGGGCTGTTGAGGTGGTTTAGTTATTTAGAGAGAATGGGTCACAGTAGAATGACTTGGAGAGCGCATAAATCTGTAGTTGAAGGAAGAAGAGATAGGGGTCATCCTCGAAAAGGTTGGAGGGAGGAGGTAAAGGAGGTTTTGTGGGTGAGGGGCTTGGCCTTCCAGCAAGCGTGTGTGTGTGTGTTAGACAGGAGTAAATGGAGACGAATGGTTTTTGGGACTTGACGAGCTGTTGGAGTGTGAGCAGGGTAATATTTAGTGAAGGGATTCAGGGAAACCGATTACTACAGATCTAGCCAGACTTGAGTCCTGGAAATGAGAAGTACAATGCCTGCACTTTAGAAGTGGGGCCTGGAATATTGACAGTTTGGAGAGACTTCTAAACTGTCGTATCTGAGTGCCTCTGCAAAGGGAGTAATTATGTATGAGTGAGGAGAAAGTGTTGAATGTTGATGAAAGTATTTTCTTTTTGGGTTACCGTGCCTCGGTGGGTGATGACCTATGTGTTGAAAAAAGCCTTTTTATGTGTTTCATTGTCAATATGTGAGTTTTCTCTCAATATAAAATGGGAATTTAGTCTGAAATGCTGTATATTCTATGTACTTTGAATTATACTGACCTAACTGAATTATAACACTTTTTAAAAAATCACATTTATGTACCTCATTTACTGCAGGAAAAAATTATATTACATTTGTAAAAGTCTTTAATGAGAGGCTGTAAAAGTAGACAATATCAAGGCACGAAAAAATATATAAAAGAAATTAATACCACTTAGATATGCCAGGAAAGCTTCATTTTTCTTTTTTGTGCTGGTTGAGAGATTACAGCCTTAATTCATTTTTTTTATTTTAAGCACTCATACTAATTACTATAGGGTATTAATTAACTGCTAGATAAAAAATCACTTACAAATTGTACAACGCTTTCTCCCTAATAAATTGAATGTATATGGGTAGTAGGTTGGTAGACAGCAACTGCCCTGGGAGGTACTACCGTCCTGCCAAGTGAGTGTAAAATGAAAGCCTGTAATTGTTTTACATGATGGTAGGATTGCTGGTGTCCTTTTTTCTGTCTCACGAACATGCAAGATTTCAGGTACGTCTTGCTACTTCTACTTACTCTTAGGTCACACAAGGCTTTTGACACAGTTCCTCACAAGAGATTAGTGCAGAAGCTAGAGCATCAGGCGCATATAACAGGAAGGGCACTGCAATGGATCAGAGAATACCTGACAGGGAGGCAACAACGAGTCATGGTACGTAATGATGTATCACAGTGGGCACCTGTGACGAGCGGGGTCCCACAGGGGTTGGTCCTAGGACCAGTGCTATTTTTGGTATATGTGAACGACATGACGGAAGGGTTAGACTCAGAGTGTCCCTGTTTGCAGATGATGTGAAGTTAATGAGGAGAATTAAATCTGATGAGGACCAGGCAGGACTTCAAAGAGACCTGGACAGACTGGACACCTGGTCCAGCAAATGGCTTCTCGAATTTAATCCTGCCAAATGCAAAGTCATGAAGATAGGGGAAGGGCACAGAAGACCACAGACAGAGTATAGGCTAGGTGGCCAAAGACTGCAAACCTCACTCAAGGAGAAAGATCTTGGGGTGAGTATAACACCGAGCATGTCTCCGGAAGCACACATCAATCAGATAACTGCTGCAGCATATGGGCGCCTGGCAAACCTGAGAACAGCATTCCGACACCTTAGTAAGGAATCATTCAAGACACTGTACACCGTGTATGTCAGGCCCATACTGGAGTATGCAGCACCTGTTTGGAACCCGCACTTGATAAAGCACGTCAAGAAACTAGAGAAAGTACAAAGGTTTGCAACAAGGTTAGTTCCAGAGCTAAGGGGAATGTCCTATGAAGAAAGATTAAGGGAAATCGGCCTGACGACACTGAGAGACAGAGGGTCAGGGGAGACATGATAACGACATATAAAATTACTGCGTGGAATAGACAAGGTGGACAAGGACAGGATGTTCCAGGGAGGGGACACAGAACCAAGAGGCCACAATTGGAAGTTGAAGACACAAATGAGTCAGAGAGATAGTAGGAAGTATTTCTTCAGTCATAGAGTTGTAAGGCAGTGGAATAGCCTAGAAAATGACGTAGTGGAGGCAGGAACCATACACAGTTTTAAGACGAGGTTTGATAAAGCTCATGGAGCGGGGAGAGAGAGGGTCTAGTAGCAACCGGTGAAGAGGCGGGGCCAGGAGCTAGGACTCGACCCCTGCAACCACAAATAGGTGAGTACAAATAGGTGAGTACATACATGTACAAGCATATATATACACACCCCTCTGGGAATTCTGCTATTTTCTTTCTAGTTCTTGTTCTTGTTTATTTCCTCTTGTCTTCATGGGGAAGTGGAACAGAATTCTTCCTCCGTAAGCCATGCGTGTTGTAAGAGGCGACTAAAATGCTGGGAGCAAGGGGCTAGTAACCCCTTCTCCTGTATATATCACTAAATGTAAAAGGATAAACTTTTGTTTTTCCTTTTGGGCCACCCTGCCTCAGTGGGCCACCCTGCCTCGGTGGGCCACCCTGCCTCGGTGGGCCACCCTGCCTCGGTGGGCCACCCTGCCTCAGTGGGCCACCCCGCCTCGGTGGGCCACCCTGCCTCGGTGGGCCACCCTGCCTCGGTGGGCCACCCCGCCTCGGTGGGCCACCCTGCCTTGGTGGGCCACCCTGCCTCGGTGGGCCACCCCGCCTCGGTGGGATACTGCCGGTGTGTTGAAAGAAAGAATAAAATGAATGTAATATAACTCACATAGTACTGAGTTCTTGATACAAGCAGGATAACTCTGGTCCCACAGCTGGCAAAGAGCTCTTCTGTTTGTGCCCGAGTGGTCAGTTCGACACCATTGATCTGCAACAGTTTAATATATTAGATACAGTAGATCATACTGAAGTACTTATACAGTGCCTGGGGAATGGGAGATAATAAAGTTCAGTCTGAAGAAGAAAACAGTGCTGATTCTTGTGGAAGGAGGGCCAAACCTCCCTTCTGTCTCCATCTTGTTGCTCATCTGTAGGGCCCACTGCTTCTCAAGGATAAAACAGTAACTTGAAATATCACTATGAGGCAGCAATCTGCTACAGAACTTCTTTGATACAGCAAGTCTTCACCTTGCCATCCTCCCATTCATTACTCAGGACCTTGTAATAACTATGACACCAAAAACTTGCATGTTATAAATGGTATGCAACACCTACAAGTTGCTAAGATGCGTGTGCAACACTTGGGTGTCTTTATTGTTGAAATGTTCTGCCTGTACAGCAGGCTTTTTCAGTTGAATACAAGTTATTATAAAACAGAAGAGGTAGTTTTAAGGTGATCAGTCCCTCAGCCATGACAGAAAGTGGCCAGCCCCTTTGGCTAAGGAACTGATCACCAAGGCTTGTTCAGGAAGGCTGTTGGTGCTAGCACAACACAGTCCAAATTAATACTGACCCTGCCCAGTGCCTTAAAAACTAATCAAACCTGACAATATTTTGATATTTTTATTACCGATGTTTCACCCACTTGACAAAACCACTGTAGAATAGGCAAACACTGTTGTTTATAAAGGTTTTTTGTTAGTGGTTTTGTATTATTATTATTATAATCAAAAAGAAGCGCTAAGCCACAAGGACTATACAGCTAGTGGTTTTGTAAATTATCTTCCCTAAGGCCAAGTCTCAGACCAGATCTCCTAGATTAGAAAGGAAATATTAGAGGACCCCAATGAAAATACAGTGGTACCTCAAGTTACGAACTTAATTCATTCCAGAAGGCCATTCGAGTGCCGTTACTGAACGAATTTGTTCCCGTAAGGAATTATGTAAATTAGATTGGTCTATTTCAGACCCTCAAAAATACACTTACATAACTGTTAGAGTTGCGAGCTGTTTGAAACTCGAGGTACCAGTGTAAGTCACTTTGACTTTTTCGGGTTAATCTAGGTAATTTACACATTACTCTGTATAATAATTGTAGTTATGTGGACCTGTACCTAAATAAATTTATTCACTTACAGGATTATGAAATATTAAAAATTATGGGTACAGTATGTGCTAAGTAAATGTAAGTAGAGTCTAAGATTCAACTATCATCTTACATGCTCATGAGACAGTAAGAAATGGTCAGCAATCTTGCCAATAAAAAAAAAAACCTTTAGTTTTGTACTAACAGGATGGTTAGTGGATGACAAATTATTAAGTTTATTCAGGTACAGGTACACAAATACATAAATTATGCTGTGTAGATTACCTAGGATAATCCACAAAGTTTTGATAATTTAATATCTTTATTACACAACAGTCCAGGGACTGTACCTCAACATTACAGAGGTACATAATGGGTCCAGGGACTATACCTCAACATTACAGAGGTACATAATGGTCCAGGGACTATACCTCAACATTACAGAGGTACATAATGGGTCCAGGGACTATACCTCAACATTACAGAGGTACATAATGGGTCCAGGGACTATACCTCAACATTACAGAGGTACGTAATGGGTCCAGGGACTATACCTCAACATTACAGAGGTACATAATGGGTCCAGGGACTGGGCCACAAAGTTTTGATAGGTGAACAGGTTACAGTGGTAATGAACTATTTATATGTTTATATAGTATCTAGTTACAATCGCAGTGAGTTATTTATGCAGACATTAACGGAGTCTCACTCACTCACTCACACACTCTCTCTCTCACTCTCTCTCACTCTCTCTCACTCTCTCTCTCTCTCTCTCTCTCACACACACACAAGTTTAAGTGGAAATGCATTGTTGACATTGGGTAAAGTCAGGGTATTTTTTCCAGAATGGTAATATACCACTGTGGACAAAATCCTTCGCCATTTCTTGAACATTTCTGAGTGAGTTGTCTCTGAATTCATTAATTTTGATAACACAAAGCAGCTTTTGGAAACTTTATTTAAGACGCTGTAATAAGTATCGTTTACTCCACTCTGTGGGTGTTTTACTCACCACTCCAGTTACAAATTCCTCTCACTCACCTGTAAGATCTGGTCTCCAATCCTCAGTCTACCATCTTTAGCGGCCACGGTGCCATGTTCAATCTGAGATATCAGGACTTCCGTGACAACGCCCTTGTAGTCGTCTCCGCTGAGTCCCTCGTCTTCTGCCACGCCCACGCCCTCGTCCTGCTCTGGCATGTGTGTGGGCGGCGGTGCAGGAGCATTACTGTAGTAGAGTGTCAAGCCCAGCTTCTCCTCAGATGACGCACGTTCCAAGATGATCTCCTGCACAAGGAAGATTATTATGGGGGGCGCTAAAAGCGTAGGGATTATACAGCGCCTGTGGAGGAGGGGGGGGGGTGGAATGCATTGGGGGAAATGGAGCACAGATCTAAATCCCTAGAACAAGAGCCGTTCATCAGTATAAAGGAACCTCCCCTGACACTCTTCCTTGTGCACCCCTCCCTTGAGGAGCCTAAACTTGGAAGGCCCAAGTTCCACCCAATTAAAAAGGAAGGAGCACTACTGCAGGCCTACTGGCCCATACTAGGCAGGTTCATAATGCCTAGGCATAATAGAGGCTCTCATTGCATTGCAACCCATTATTGTAAATACATAATCTCAATGTACTATTTGCAAAGACATAAATAAATAAATAAATAAATAGGGCGCGGGAGTTAGATGCGGAAGTAGGCTCAAAGATGCATTAAAATGCATTGATTAAAAAAAAAAGGTAAGTTGTAGAGGCGTGAGAGTGAGTAGCACGTATGTGGGAGTAAGTTCCAAGCTGATTATTATTATTATTATTATTATTATTATTATTATTATTATTATTATTATTATTATTATGAAGGGGGAGCGCTAAACCCAGTTCCAGGCTGAGGGACTGATTACCTCAAACTCTTCCTCTTCTCACCCCTCCCTGCTTTGTATTGGACTGATGAAGCCAGTGTGTGGCGAAACGTTTCATTAATAAAGATTCTCATATGTTGCATAAGTGTCTCAATCTCCAGGAATACTAGTACTGAATTATCGACAAGTTAGCTAAAAGGACACACATGCAACTATGACATTTTATTGGGGCAACGCGTCGCTCTCCAGGAGCTTTGTCAAAATATACCACGGGTGGGATTTGAACCCGCGGTCAGAGTCTCAAAGCCACTGGGCTTTGTCAAGCCGTTCCTGGGGAGCGAACGTTGCCACAATGTCACATCAGTTGCACGTGACTCATTTTACCTAACAGTACCAGTGTTGCACACAGGAATTTCTACCCAGGTGGAAAATGCCGAGTTGAACAAAAAAATGCTTCAACAATTACCATAAAATAAGGAACCTGAGGACAAACTTGCCCAAGCAGAAAATCAACAAACAGTGTCGTCTTGAAAGCAACTTTGACCTCTATAAGCCAGGAGATACATGCAGATACCATTACCGTGATCAAAGAGAATGCCCCAGAGAGCTTTTAAACCTCTGATGATAAACATTATAACATCGGGAGAAGGAAAGAACAGATTTTATGCATATGGCCCAAGTGAAGAGTGAATTAATACCTATATATATCGTCTGTGTTGTTTGTAACGGCTTGATAAAGCTCCTGGAGAGCGAAACGTTGCCACAATAAAATATCACATTAGTTGCACTTGTGTTCTTTTACCTATAATAATCATCCACATAATGTCGAGGGGGGTTCGCGAGGAAACATTGGGATAAGAAATACACATGTTGGATGTCTTGGAGGCTTATAATTAAAAAAAGTAAAACCAACATCATGGAATCTTGGTTCAGAGGACATCTACAAGACCTTCTTCACGGCTGCTACAACTAACCCATCGCTTTGGGTAGGACCTACTTCTCTGGGGAATCCCGCCTACCAGTGACTATGCCCTCGTCTGCTACACGTCCCTATCCACTGACGCCTATATAAGCCTATATTATGACGCCTATATAAGCGCCAGTCTTCTCCTCCACCACGATGCTGTGAACACTAACTCCAAGACTGAGGCACTGATTACCTCATCTTTTGTATATAGTTCTACTGTCTTCTATTATGTCCTAGAATTTGTATCGATAAAGCCACTGGATGGCGAAACGTCTACAATGAAGATATCCAGATGTTGCACATGTGTCTTAACTTTCAAAAAAAAAAAAAAAAAAAAAAAAAAAAAAAAAAAAAAAAAAAAAAAAAAAAAAAAAAAAAAAAAAAAAAAAAAACCTGCCTACTGAGTGGACTGGGATTGACAGAGCGGGAGTTCTGGCCTACACCTTACATGTGAGGATCTTGTGACGTTATAACTAGTAAGGGAGCCTATCCATAATAATAATATATTTACTACAAGTACATATACATGGTATACAGTAGGTTTACTCAGGTATACACAAATACAGTTACACAGATTATCATACATTGCAGTATATGTGTAGAGAACCTGGGATAACCCAAACAAGTCACATTTATTTCCATTGGGTCCTTTAAATGTTGTAGTTGGGTTTATCTATCTACACAGTTGCTGGGTTTATCTCAGTATACTACACAAGTACACAGTAACACTACTGACAATGTGACTTTTTTATAAATGAGATGAAAAGATGCAAATAAAATTTAATAACAAGTACTGTGAAGGAGTTTCCAAAAGCGATATTCAATCGTATTTACAGTCACTTTGTATGGAGGAGCTGTATGGAGGAGCTGTATGGAGGAGCTGTATGGTGGAGCTGTATGGTGGAGCTGTATGGTGGAGCTGTATGGTGGAGCTGTATGGAGGAGCTGTATGGAGGAGCTGTATGGAGGAGCTGTATGGAGGAGCTGTATGGAGGAGCTGTATGGTGGAGCTGTATGGAGGAGCTGTATGGAGGAGCTGTATGGTGGAGCTGTATGGAGGAGCTGTATGGAGGAGCTGTATGGTGGAGCTGTATGGAGGAGCTGTATGGTGGAGCTGTATGGAGGAGCTGTATGGAGGAGCTGTATGGAGGAGCTGTATGGAGGAGCTGTGTGGAGGAGCTGTATGGTGGAGCTGTATGGAGGAGCTGTATGGTGGAGCTGTATGGAGGAGCTGTATGGAGGAGCTGTATGGAGGAGCTGTATGGTGGAGCTGTATGGAGGAGCTGTATGGAGGAGCTGTATGGTGGAGCTGTATGGAGGAGCTGTAGTGTGGAGCTGTATGGAGGAGCTGTATGGAGGAGCTGTATGGAGGAGCTGTATGGTGGAGCTGTATGGAGGAGCTGTATGGAGGAGCTGTATGGTGGAGCTGTATGGAGGAGCTGTATGGAGGAGCTGTATGGTGGAGCTGTATGGAGGAGCTGTATGGTGGAGCTGTATGGAGGAGCTGTATGGAGGAGCTGTATGGAGGAGCTGTGTGGAGGAGCTGTATGGTGGAGCTGTATGGAGGAGCTATGGTGGAGCTGTATGGAGGAGCTGTATGGAGGAGCTGTATGGAGGAGCTGTATGGAGGAGCTGTATGGAGGAGCTGTATGGAGGAGCTGTATGGTGGAGCTGTATGGTGGAGCTGTATGGAGGAGCTGTATGGAGGAGCTGTATGGAGGAGCTGTATGGAGGAGCTGTATGGAGGGAGCTGTATGGAGGAGGAGCTGTAGGAGGCTGTATGGTGGAGCTGTATGGTGGAGCTGTATGGAGGAGCTGTATGGAGGAGCTGTATGGAGGAGCTGTATGGAGGAGCTGTATGGAGGAGCTGTATGGAGGAGCTGTATGGTGGAGCTGTATGGTGGAGCTGTATGGAGGAGCTGTATGGTGAAGCTGTATGGTGGAGCTGTATGGTGGAGTTGTATGGTGGAGCTGTATGGAGGAGCTGTCTAAAAGAGCTGACTGGAATGTTGAAGAGCTCTATGTTGACAAAATTTTCTCTTTTTCAAGTTTATTTCTATATTTTTTCGCAATTTTAATTTTCAACTGTTTCCTGGAAAATAACTTGATTGATATGCGTAGTGTTTTGTTCGTCAGGAAACAGGAGTAATCTCTCCTGACGCTGGTCTTGGTGGTGGTGGTGTGTTCGTCAGGAAACAGTATTAGTGTCTCCTGACACTGGTCTTGGTGGTGGTGGTGTGTTCGTCAGGAAACAGTATTAGTGTCTCCTGACACTGGTCTTGGTGGTGGTGGTGTGTTCGTCAGGAAACAGTATTAGTGTCTCCTGACACTGGTCTTGGTGGTGGTGGTGTGTTCGTCAGGAAACAGTATTAGTGTCTCCTGACACTGGTCTTGGTGGTGGTGGTGTGTTCGTCAGGAAACAGTATTAGCGTCTCCTGACACTGGTCTTGGTGGTGGTGGTGTGTTCGTCAGGAAACAGTATTAGTGTCTCCTGACACTGGTCTTGGTGGTGGTCGTGTGTTCGTCAGGAAACAGTATTAGTGTCTCCTGACACTGGTCTTGGTGGTGGTGCTGTGTTCGTCAGGAAACAGTATTAGTGTCTCCTGACACTGGTCTTGGTGGTGGTGCTGTGTTCGTCAGGAAACAGTATTAGTGTCTCCTGACACTGGTCTTGGTGGTGGTGCTGTGTTCGTCAGGAAACAGTATTAGTGTCTCCTGACACTGGTCTTGGTGGTGGTGGTGTGTTTCGTCAGGAAACAGTATTAGTGTCTCCTGACACTGGTCTTGGTGGTGGTGGTGTGTTCGTCAGGAAACAGTATTAGCGTCTCCTGACACTGGTCTTGGTGGTGATGCTGTGTTCGTCAGGAAACAGTATTAGTGTCTCCTGACACTGGTCTTGGTGGTGGTCGTGTGTTCGTCAGGAAACAGTATTAGTGTCTCCTGACACTGGTCTTGGTGGTGGTGCTGTGTTCGTCAGGAAACAGTATTAGCGTCTCCTGACACTGGTCCTGGCTAAATAATGACCCGTGCCTGGTTAAGCAGCATCCTCTGGTCTACACGAGTCAGATCTGACACAGCTTCTCAAAACTCCTCCTCTCCCTGCCTGAACCATAACACACCCTCACTAACTCACCTCTAGCCCCTTCAACCATGTCTATGGATTACTCCCCTCATAAAACCCAAGTTTATGTGCCTAGTAAACCCTGGCTAGAGTTACTAGTGAACATCTCTAGCGACGATGTGAGCAATATGTTCTGTACCAGTTTCCAGTGGGTGGCTCACAACCCAAAGTACCTGGGTTTGATCCACAGGCGAGATAAAATATATTAAAACGTTTCCTTGCACCTGCTGTTCCCGTAAACATATTTCTGGCAGTCAGTTGACCGTCGTGGGCTGCATTCTTGAGAAACCCACTCAACGGAAAAAAAGCCACACTGCATGGCTTTCAAGGGTTATCACTGTTTAA